TGTCCTTCTAGGTTCCTTCCCTTAACACCAAACCTGCCCATCACCTCCTCATCACCTTTGTTCCCCTCACCAAGTCTGCTCCAATCACCACTCTCTCCCCTCTGGGAATACTCTCCATCACCTCTTCTAACTCACACCCTTCTTGTGGAGCATAACCACTGACTACATTCAACATTATTCCTTCAATTTCCAACTGATCAATTTAACAACGACCACCACCAGTGTTGTTGACCTTCAATTTCAAACTGATCACCCTGTCTGACACCCTTTTCACCTCTAAAACGTTCCTCAGGAGCTCCTGCTTCAGGATCAGTCCTACCCCATTTCTCTTTCTGTCCACACCATAATAAAACAGTCTGCATCCCCCCCTCCAATGCTACACGCTTTGCTACCCTTCCACCTGGTCTCCTGCACACACAGTATATCTACCTTCCTTCTCTCCATCATGTCCGCCAGCTCTCTACCTTTCCCTGTCATTGTGCCAACGTTAAGAGTCCCTATTCTCAGACCTATACTCCTGCCTTTCCTCTTCCCTCTCTGTCTACGAATCCTTCTACCTCCTGTCCTCCTTCTTTGACCAACAGTAGTCCAATTTCCGCCAGCACCCTGTAGGTCAACAGCACTGGTGGTGGTCGTTGTTAACCTTGGCCTCGACTGATCCAATATGGAATTCGCACGGATGATTCGTATGTTTAAATTTGGCATGTTTTTACGCTGGATGCCTTTCCTGACGCAACCCTCTCTATTTATCCGGGCTTGGTACCGGCACAGAAGTCACTGGCTTGCAACCCCTGTGGCTAGATTGAGCAGAGTTTTTTAAAATCTTAAAAATCAACCATGATAATGACTGGGGCTTAGGACTACACATTTCTAATAGAAAGCCTACACTGCAAACTGGGGTTGTCAAGTAGTTTTAGAGGTGCTATCAGGCATGGGAAGTATTTTTGGAGACTGACTCCTGCTAAAGGCTTCTCCCTCTCCTGCATTTGACCACTCTTTCATTTAAAATGTCTTTTTTGATTCCCCCCTTTTGCTGCAAGTGCACAACTAAATTTCTATATTTTTCCTAAAATATGTTGACAGTATTTAAATGTGGATGCATGATAACTCTGTTAAAATGTGCTTATAGTTGCCATACATGTCATTTGTAAAGCCTGGATTTAGGCAAGGCGGGGCAAATTGATTTATATAACACATTTTTATGCACAAAGGCAAATCAAAGTGCTTAGCACATAGCACAAAAATATAAAATGCATAGAAAATGCACACAAATAGCTACCAAATGTAAATGCATTCATAGATAAAACAAAATGTAAATTAGATTAAAACATTAAATGCAAATTAAAAGTGACAGTTACATCATAGCACAAAGTAACAACTTGTAGAGTACTTTTAGGATAACTGTGGCAGGAGTTACTAAGACTATTAAAGGATAAGGCCAGTCATTTTCTATATTAACAGTACTTTCAGCTGTCACCATACAGAGACTAAAACCAACAATGAATTGCCGCTACTTACTGTTAATGTCTGTCTCTGTCAGTCCTGAATTAGCTTCTTCATTTGTGCCACAGACCTCCACTGATGTTGAGAAACACATCTCTCCACTGGGTGATATGTTTTCTCTTTACAAAACACAAGACCATAAGGGACTCAGAACAGCCATAACATTTTATAGGATCTGAAGTAAGCAAGAGTCAAATGTCCATGCACTAACGCTGTGGATATTTTTACCAAGTATTATGGTCAGTGAGTTTCAGAATGAGTAAACCTATCAATAAGTGCAGCAGTGTGTCTCCCTTGATGTGTTTTAATGTGATGTGTTAATAATTTTTGATCAACAATGGACATCTATGCAGACATATAGCATAAATCGGGCTGTATATTTTTATCCAAGCCCAATCTGTGTGTAGCATCGAAACCCGCCCCGAGCCCCGACGCAGTTGAGTTTGTGCGGTATATTCCCCCTTGTCATTAAACAAAGCAGACAGTGCTCTGGCTGTCTAACCTAAAGTTTGACCTACGTGTCCAAACTTGACCCAGAACAGAGCATGATATCCAAAATTTAGGTCTGAACCCAGCCCAAACCCTCGAGCGTCGACAGATTCCATCAGGATTGGTTCTGGGTATGCACGCTGTACACAGATGAATAAACTAATCCAGAACTGGCAGACATTAGCAGTGAGTGGATGTGACTTGTTGGCTTTTGTCTCTGAAAGGGGATAGTGGAAGATACTGTTAATATAAAAAATGACGGCTATTTAGATCAGATGAAGAAGGGAAGACATTCAACATGGCATCATGTTCCTGTGGCCTGATTGGTGAAGTGCTGATAGATTGTGTGCCTTGCGCTATTTTCACAGTGTGTTTTTGTGTTTGTGTAGGACCTCCAGGTGTTGGCTTGAATGAGCTTAAGAAGAAACTATTGATCTCCGACCCTCAACACTTCAGTGTGACCATCCCACGTAAGTTCACTCATCTCACTGAGGTTGGTTAAAGCCTGTTTGTGCGTATGTCTGTTGTCAGCCTCAGTATTGCCTGAGCCTCTTCCAGTAGTATCCATTTGTCTTCTGGTCTTTCCTCTCTGCATATTTCTGTGTGTATATGTCTTTTGTGTGAATATGTCTGTTTTATACATAGTGTCTACCATAACCATTTTACCAGAGCACAGTTTTAGATCTTCCATTTACTGGCAAATAGATTTTAAGTGGACTTGAAGACACTATTTGACTTTTGCCACATGCATCCCCAGTTTGCCTGCTCGCTGTCTCTCTCTCTCTCTCTCTCTCTCTCTCTCTCTGTTGTTTCCTGTCATCTCTTTTTTAGTGTGCTGCAACAGTGGCAAAAAAAATTTCACAAAAATGCAAAATGCTAAAAGAAAACATTTTCTTCAAAATGTTAAATAGAGCACATTTTGCATAAAATATACAAATTTAAATTTCAATCTGCATGCACATTGCTGTTCTCAGGAGGACTGAGCCTCCTCAGATGCTGAGTAGCTGACACTACTGACATGTGGATAACATGCTTGCTTCTCTGCTCTTCTGAATCCATTGGTGCACTAGAAGCCTTTTTTTACATCTGCCCACCAAGACAAACACATTGGAAACACATTCTCAGTGAAATATACGTGCACAAGATGCCTGATCAGATTCCAACTACATACCACTCCGGTGCTACCTGTGAGTTTTTAGCAACAAATCAAAATAATTGCTTTTGGAGGCAGATGTTGAGCTTACTTATTCTAGTAAGGTTTCACAGTGTGTGAGAGTGCTTGTGTTGTTCGAGTGATGAAGGTCCAGTCTGAGACAGTCCTGGGCAGTTGGTTCTTCTCCTGTGTAATTGTCAGCTTTTCACAGTCTGCATGACAAGCTCAGAGTGATGGAGGAAACAGTGTTTTTCTACCCCTGAGAATGTGCCATTCCACTGCTTCATGAATTGGCATTGAGTTTCTTTCTTTCTCAATTTGTTTCTCACTTTCATTGTTTTTCTGTTTCTTTCCCTCACTGATTTTACCCTTTTATGGACCCAATGACAGCCTGCCACAGTTTTGACTACCATCCAGCCTTGCTGCAAACACCTGGCTCTCCTCTTTTTTCTAGCATTTTTTGTTTTGTTTTGTTTTGTTTTTTGCACTTCTGAGATGTCCCAAAGCCAGCATAGTGGGACAAATAAATCTTTTTGATTTATGCATTTAAGCAGGGCAGTGGCAATAGTAATTGCGTAGTTACCATCTGGGTCTTGGAAGGACACTGCAACACAAGTTTTAATTGCCATTTTTGTTAAATGCCGTGTGGCATAATGGATGTTTCGCAGTTGGAGTCTGACATTTGAAATGTCCCTCATATTAAAATCCCATCGGTGGAGTGTTTTTTCCACAAGCGCTGCTAATTGTTCCCAAATGTAACCTGGAACACTGTGTTTAATAGAGCCCAGACAATCTGATTCTGACGCATATAGAAGACATATGGCACAAGTCCTGGGCTCTCATTTTGAGGAAAGAGGCTCGGAAAGTATCTCATCTCCTTCTTTCTTAATGTTTGTTTGCAGCCAAAAGACACATGGATGTGTTTGACACTTGTCATTGTTTCAGATTAAGCCTGAAAGTGTTACCGCTTTTTGTTAATTTGAAAACCAGAGTTTGGGAGACCACTGGTTTGGGGCCCTCTGCCCCCTCTCTTTTTCTCTCCTTGTCCATGTAAAATGTAAATCAGCCATCTGAGAAGCAAAAACAGCATTGCAATAAATCATTAAAGTAGAGGGTTAAACATTTTAATTTCAATCCCAGTTTACAGATATTTTCCATTATTTTGGGATGAAGGGATGCCCATTCTTGTGATGTTCTGTAATTATTTTCAGTGCCACAAAATAGATGCCAAGATAACACACAGTAGATGGTGTTGGTCTAACTACCGAGAGGCTGTTTGGCACTGCATCCTACATGTTTCTGAATGGGGAGGTATAAGTATATGCTATTTTATGACAAAACTGTTCTGACCTTCTCCATGTGTTTTCCTGCTGTTGTCTTGACCTGAAGACAGAAAGTCATAGATCTTCTTCAGCGTCTTCTCCACCAGGGTTAGATGTATGGCTGTCTTTTCTTTTCAAGCAAGTGACACAGTGCATAACTCACACCATTGGTTTTCCATGAGAACTATAGATCAGTCTGGATCATGTAAAGGAAAGCCATGGGTCCACTACAAGGGCACAGTGTAACACATGCTGATGAAAAGAAAGACTCAGAGAAGGCCGAAGCAGAATGTGGCAGTTTTAGTTGCAGGTGATAAAAGTTTAATAGTTTGTTTTGGAGTTGTTCGGAGTGTCCGAGTCGACCCCTTGACCTATACAAAATCCACCAGTACTGCCTGCTCATGTTTTCACCAGCCATTTTACAGAAAGGCATTCTGATCTGTAGCCAAGTGAATGTGAAGACCTGATGTTAATGAGACCTTCCAAACTCACTTACCTTAGAGCAGCTAACCCTACAGCTTCTGTTCATACAGGCACTGCACCCACATTACAAGAGACAAATTTAGACACAGTAAACCTTTGCTGAATGTCAGCTAAGTGTCTGAGTTTAGTGCAACTGCTTGTGTATTTTATAGTGCTATTACACAGAAATATGCATAGGGCTGGCATAGCCCAGGACTCTGTGTTTGAGACTTCCAGCCATCTTAATAAGGGTCAGACAGTCTGAGATCAGTGTAATCACTCCCTTTTTTCTCTCTCTTTCAGACACCAGTCGGGCCAAGAGGAACCAGGAGAGCGATGGTGTGGAGTATCACTTCATCTCCAAACATCTTTTTGAGACAGATATCCACAACAACAAGTAGGCACAACTGATATATGCAAAGAAAACAGACTCAACACAGTGCAGCACTTATATTCTAATGTAGACATGCATTAAAAATATTAATTGGTTATTTAGAAGCCTAAACATGGTGGCACAGTGGTTATCCCTGTCACCTCACAGCAAGAAGGTTCAAGCCTGGGCCGACCCTGTGTCGAGTCTGCATGTTCACCCTGTGCCTGTGTAGGCTTTGTCTGAGTACCCCCCGGCTTTCTCCCACAGTCCAAAGACATGCAGCTTAGGTTGATTGGCAACTCTAAATTGCCCGTAGGAATGAGTGTTAGTGTGTGTGGTTGTGTGTCAGCCCTGTGATAGACTGGTGACCTCTCCAGGGTGGACCACGCCTCTCACCCAATTTCAGCTGGGATTGGCTCCAGCCCCCCCACGACCCTTGTTAGGATAAGTGGTATAGCTAATGGATGGATAAAAGTGTAAAAACTGCATGTGCTGCATTTGAGGCACAATAAAATTCTGATGGTTATTTTCCCAAAGTACAAGTATTTAATTTACTTATTTACTTTTTTATTGAGCCCAGTTCATTTAAAACAAGTGTAAAATAGAGCAGAGAAATTAGTAGAAAAATTAGAGTAGATCTAGTTTAAAGATTTATTTATTTTTGTTCTTAAGTATAGTTTGTTGTCACATATACTGTACAATTTTTTTTTTTTTTTTTTTTGCTGTGTAGTAATTTTCACTTAAGTTCCGATTAGGCTGTGAGGTTGATTTCAGTTCCCTTAACTGCTAATAGTTTTGTAGTATGTCATAGTATGAGAAGAAAAAGGGGTTTTATTTTCCAAGAACAAAACTGTCTTTATCACAATGACCGTATTACTGCTGAGGCTGCACCTATCCGCCTGTCACTGTCCAGCTCAATGTTACCCTCGGGCGAGAACAAGACCCTGAGATACTTAAACTCTTTTGCTTAGGGCAGCAACTCACTCCCAACCCAGAGGGAGCATTCCACAATCTTCCAGCAGAGAACCATGGCCTCAAACTTGGAGGTACTGACTCTCAACCCAGCTGCTTCACACTCAGCTGTAAACTGCTCCCATGTGTGTTAGAGGTCACCACCTGATGAAGCCAACATTGCCAAATCATCTGTGAAAAGCAGACAAGCAGTTCTGAGGTCCCCAAACCAGGCACGCTTCTGCCCTTGGCTATGCCTCGAGATCCTGTCAGTGAAAATCATGATCAGAAACGAATGGCAATCCTGGCATAGGACAGCACCCACTGGAAATGTGGTTGACTCCTTGCCAAGGATACAGCTACTACTGTTACTCCACTTCAGGGCCTATCAGGGCCTGATGCCTCGTACTAACAGGCCTGATACCCCATTCCCTGCAGTACCCTCCACAAGACCCCCTCACAGACCCAATCATAGACCTTCTTCAAGTCGAAAAAGTAATTGCCAACATTACAAAACACAAGATATTCATTTTAAAATGATTTAAAACCAAGACAAGCATCCAATCCTGAGTTTGATCAGCTGGAACTAATTTTGTTTGCAGTCCCAGCTGTTTTTAAAAAATGTTTTCTTGATTAATGATCTAAACTATTGATTGGTTATCATAGTTATTGTCAGATTTTTACTTCAGCTAATAAATTAATGCACCAATATTCAGTGTTAATTACATTTCAAAGGGATAACATGTATTCCAATCACATGCATATATTGCATAATGGATTGTATGAAATTTCAAAGTTTAATGGAAATCCATATATATAATATGTGAGATTTGAGACCACTCACACATTTCAATCTCTGTTCTCACTGCCTCACCACTTAAGGCAGTGGAGCAATGAAAACAGCAGTCTGACTTGCCCAGTACTTGCTGCCACTGTTCAAACACAGCCTCCGTGCTGCCGTCTGGTGTCTCTGTAACCAAGTGTGAGCCGGTGTTGACAGGGCCGGGCCCTGTTTTGGTTTCAGACCTCCAGACACTGGCCCCAAGGTTTCCTGTATCTCTGTCCTCCTTTCCTTAGACATGCGTTCTGAATCTAGCCACACCATGGCGTACCTTGGTATTTGTGGCCAGCAAATTGAAATGCAAGTTGTAATAGTCATAAGAATGATTGATGCCTTTCTCCTGGTCCTTGGGTGCATATATGTCACAGAGGGAAGCCTGTGGTGGTGAGTCCATATAGGGTGTCAGAGCATGCAGAGAGCAGAAGGGAGAGGAAGGATTGTATATTTAGGCCATGTTGTGGTGTAGGTTGAGGCATGCAATGTTTCTGAGGGAGTCGGAGGGGTGAGTGACAGAACTGTGATGTGGGGTGGATGCGTGGGACTTCACTCTGAAATTACAAGGCAGCACTGTGGACAAGTAGTGAGATGAACTTGTTTGTGTTATGTCTTATTGCATGCAGAAGACACAATGCACTCTGTGCAAAAATAAATAGCTAAATTTGTGTTTAGCTTGAACAACTTTCCCAAGGGAAGCCCAGTTTTATGTTAAAATGGCAACGGCCTGCTTTACTCTGATCTGTAAACCTTCTGTACTCTAACAACAAACAGTACCAAATGCTGTAAGGTGGGAACATGGGCTACTGTAAGGTCATAAATGAATTTCCCATAACTAAATATGGGCTTTGCAAAAATGAAAACCTTAGTAAAACTTTGTTGCCTAGACAATTACCAAAGCTGTTTTTTTTACATGGCACCGGTTGCACTGAGACAGTCACTTTGTCCAGACACTCCTCATGAGCAAACTGTGAGCGTACCACACCATTCCATTAGCTTTAAATTCTTTCCACGTTGCTAGTCTGCTCGCTGCCTTTTTTGTCTTGTTTTCAGCTAAAATCACACTGGTTCCTTTATATTTCACGACATCTGTTTGGTGTGTAAATAGTAAGATTATCTGGTGGAAAAGATTTTGCATGCTCGTGTTTATGCATTTGCTTGCTAGGCTAAAATACTGGTGGATTATCACAGGGAAGGTTTTGGCATCAGGGGCTTTGTGGTCTTTCTGGAATAAACAGGTGTTACTGATTGAAAGGATAGCGTAGGAGTTTATATAAAAACATGGTTGGCCAAAGTATTTGGTTTTTACGTTCTGTTAAAAATGCTGTCTTCAAATCTGCCAATGGTTTACCAACATTAATCCTCCTGTCTATATGAATTTGTGGGGTTTTTATACATCATTATTTCTGAGAAGAATCTCAAAAGTGTGCTGACACAGCCGACCACTTTAGGACAAGATCCTAGTGTTGCTCTCAAGACATATTAATGTTGTATTACATACCAATTCCTACACAGATTAATCAAAAATGGTGTTTTCTTGATCAGTAATGCTTCACTCTTTTTCATCTTATCTCTCAGGTTCATTGAATACGGCGAGTACAAAGGGAATTACTATGGGACAAGTCTAGACTCCATACGCTCCATCCTCTCCAAGAACAAAGTGTGCTTATTTGATGTCCAGCCTCAAGTGAGTGACACAGATCCTTCCTCTGTGTCTCATCATATCACCATACATCACTCCCCTGGTTTTTTTTTGTTTGTTTGTTTGTGTGTTTTGTTTTGCCCTTTGCCTCATCTGGGGCCTATTTCAAGAAGGCGGTTTAACAAACTCAGAGTTCAAACCTGAACTCTGAGTTGACTTACTCAGAGTTGGAAAACTCGGAGTTTTCGGTTTCAGAACAGCTGAAAAGAGTTGGTTTAATCAACTCTGAGTTGTCTGACTCAGAGTTAGGCGCGTGCCA